GACTCGTTTCTGATATACCCAAAACGTCTGAAGAAAACTTTCAACTGTGCAACAGTAAAATAAACAGGATTTATATATCCATATTCTCTACAAATTTACACTATAGTGTAAATTTTTTTTTGGCTGATACCGTCCTCCTGAAAAGAAAACCCGTAATTTCTGTATCAGGCCAAACCAACGAGTTAAATGTTATGAATCATGTCCTAATTTTTTCGCTCGAACTTCAGTTCTCCTTTATTTATTCAGACCAGAAAAGCTGTCATTTTTATCTTTCTCAATAAACAGTTAAATCGTATAAGTTGCCTTGGCATTCGGAGCCATTCGGAACCTGTACGAACGCGCAAAATTAGTAAACTTTCCCCTGAAGGGATTAGGAAAATGAAACTATTCAAAACGAATAAGGGTTTCGTAGAGCTCCTAAACCCTCTCCGAAACGCATTTTTATATAAACTCCTAAACCCTTATTCGTTCTGAATAGTTTCATTTTCCTAAACCCTTAAAAGTTTTTTAAACTACGCTTTTTTTTTAGAGTGTACTGAAAAATCAAATTTGAACCGATTTTAACTCACCTGCAACACTTTTGACTGAATACTATATGCTTGAATCTAAAATCGCGCGTTACTCATAAATAGTGGCTTAGATTAAACGTCTTCCAAGTAACTTTCGATGCGGAACGTGAAGTAGGAACCAGTGAGCAAGGTGGGTTTTTCCCCAAAGTAATGTTTTTTTCTAAAATAAACAGATTTTTCCTTTTCTCTTGTTTAATAGTACTTAAAAATCAATTTTTTGTCCACTTTAACCGATCACCAAAGTATTTATCAGAATAAGTTTGTGTTGTTTTTCGGATGTTTTCGGATGCGGAAAGATAAAACACAACTATTCGCGAGATCCAAAAGAGTCGATTTTGTATGATTAATAGTTTCTCCGTGTAGCTGTCTGAGTTTTCCTTCGTGCACCGTCTCCATCTGTGGTTTTTTAGACCTTGCTGAATTATAAAGATGATTTTTTATCTTCTCCTTATCTAATATTGTGAGTTCTAGATAAAGGGCTTTCAAACCAAAATCAATTTGACTTCGGTTGGAATACTTTGACACAGAATGAATTATGCACTTCTTTCTTATGTTACGATATGATGTACGGTCTAGCACCAAACTTTATCAAATTTAAAATAGAACAAGATAAAAAGCAAGCAATGTCAATATATTTCCTAGATACAAGTTTGTATTTTTTCAAAATATTTTCGCAGAAACGTTGTCCACAGAAAGTTTTCAAAGATTCTTCTTTCTTCGGTACACACATGTGTCGAAACTCTCACAACTAGAAAGTTAACAATAATATTTTTGCATGTACTTTAAAGGCAGATAGTTCTATAAAGGGTTTATTTGTGGTCGACGAGGGCATGTGACGTGAGTTTGGTGTTAACATAAGAAATAAGGAGAAATAGCAACTGAGTCTAGTCACGAGACAATCGCAGGAAGACGCCGATGTTTCACAAGAACTCGTTCTTGTTTCATAGCTCTTAGTTGTAGTTTTAACTCACCTGAAATACCTTTCGCTGAATACTATGTGCTTGAATCTGAAATCTCTCACTATTTATAAATAATTGCTTACATTAGAAACTTCCTACAAGTTTTCGGTGTGGAACCTAAGGAAATAAACAATATAGCATGCGTAATTCGTGACACATTACACAGATGTAATTACAGGGTTTTCCCCACAGCAATATTTTATTTCGAATACAAACACGAATTATGTGAAAAATTCGCCTAAATAAACACAGACTTTTTCCCTTTCTCTTGTTTAACAGCACTACTGAAAAATCAATTTTTTGTGCACTTTAACCGGTTACCAAAAGATTTATCAGAGTACGATTTTTTTGTTTTTGTTGTTATTAATGAATCATGTATGCTATATGGTTCGATCGATTATAACGATAAAAATATAGAGCGAGTTGTTTGTCTAGCCGTCATGTACGCTCTTGTTTTGTCCTTGATGGTGCAGGTTTATGCACTCGAAAGTACAAAATATAGTTAGTCTTTATTAACCTTGTTTTTGTGCAGATAATTTGGTCAGTCTTATTCATAATAAAGATATATTTTTTTAATGAATAACGGTAGTCGTGAGAAATGAAGTTTGAATAGAAGGAGAAGGAGTGATATTTCAATGGCATTACACCCTATAGTGTGTGGATGCACACGTTTTGTAATTTGTTTCCGGAGCTCAAATTAAATGTAATGTACCATCAGTCTGAGTTGATTAAAGTTTGCAATTATATTTATTGTGTGCATCGATGTTCTGATCAGTGCTGTCACTTAGAAGAAAGTCGAAAAAAGAATTTTTTATGTTTTTGAGTTTTCAATATAATAAACCGTTTTTGCAGGGAAAAGTGGCTAGCGGTTGACACAGTAAACAACCCTCTTCGTGTTTTTTGCATAATTTTCTTAGTTTTTATTGTGCAGACTTGAACTACTTTTAAAAAGATTCTCTACAAAAAGCATACTGAATAAACTGTAAAAATAAAAACATATGAAGGAAATACTGCGAAACTTCAATCTTGACAATTTTCTACCTAACATACAGGTTTTTTAATTATAGCTCTTCATATTTTGGGATAAAAGTGGAAGACAGATACTTTATAGCCCTTAAAAATCTCTATCAGCTGTTAATATTTAAAACTTCTGCGTAATCACATGCAGTTGGGATAGAGTTTTTTCTACCACTCCTTAAAATAACAGTACTTTATTCGGCTAATCGAAGATAGTATAACTTTTTGTATCGTTGGATGGAGGATCAAAATGCCGTTTTTCTCTGTTCTGGTCTCAAAACAGAACAGTCCAGAAGCATTGAATCGCCATAGTTATCGCAGCAGATTACTTTTTTGTGATAACAAATCAAGCGCTACATCTCAATATGTCTGATCCATACTCAGGTGAAACTCAACTTACAAGATCGTACATGATCTGTCGTTTTCTTCTCACAAGATCTTGTAAGAACTAGCGAAAAGTGCTGACTCATTCTTACTCCATAAGTTTAGTCAAATTAATGATGAAGTGTCGCTATGGTGTGAATATTGAAAAACACATCATATCTCACGATACCATTCATTCTTTTACTGGAATACAGAGAAACGAGAAAAGTTAAATTATTTATTTTCTTTCACCAAAAATAAAACATAACTCATGTAAATAGTCTTTTGAGACAGAGTTTATTTGTCTCAGATGAGAGAAAAAGTTTCGCTTTTTCACTCGTATAAACTTTGTAATCATGTGTGCACATAATTAATTTTTCTTATCTTTCTAATTTTTTTAGAAGAGCTTTTTAATTTGACTACAAAAACGAAAAGCAACACGCACAAAACTAATAGTTTAACTAATACTACAATGTTTTTGTCTTCTTTCATGATGTTGCCTTTTTTGAAATTAGGTCCATACTGTCATTCCACCGTGTTAGTCTAAATATATTCGTCAGTTGTCAAAAGTGCCGTTATTCATTTTTTTATACAACAGATAATGTGAGGAAAAATGTTGTGGCCTTTCTACGAAATTTCCGACACCCCTTTTTTGTATAGACATCTATGCAGCATGTAAGTGCCTTTTTGGACTGTCAATAAGTCTGGCTGCCAGTGCGATGGAGTGTCAATAGTTGTTTGCAGCTTCCCCCGGGGGTGTCAATAAATCTATATGCCGGTTTCTTTTGATCCACTTGGTTTTCACTCATGTGCTACCCGTCACAAAAGACAAAAATTTCGATTACCGTTACCACACAAGGATAAATATTTCGAACCTCAAAATGCAATGTATTTGGCGACTCATTCTCATGCTGCGAAATTTCCGAAACCCGTTCTAACGTTCTACAAACTGCTTGAAACAGTAGAACACTTATATTTAGCTGAACACTGTATGGTATTTGCCTTTAACGTCTTTTTCGCAAAAGGATCGTGCGGGATAAGACCGCAAATGTACCGTGCCCCCCCCCCTTGGAACCAAACTATTACATTATGGTTGGATAGAGGATTGTATATCCATATTAAACTTAACTCTTGTTCACTGAAAACATAGAACATGGCCGCAAAATGAGAAAATTCAAACATTTTGAAAAAAGAAAAAAGAGTTAATTTCATTAACAGGAATATTTGAAATACGGCATCCGCCACAGTTTTCCCAAATCATCCTCATATATGTTAGTTATTATGGTAAGATTTTACCCTCGCAGCGGAAAAATGCATTTGCATCATTTTTTCGGCGGATTTAGCCTAACTTATAGAATGTCTGCTGACCACATTCGCTAATGTAGAAAAGTTATGCTACACGTCGGGATCTTGAGACAGATTTCTGAAAAATCCGGTTTTTTAGAAAATCTGATGATGTTAAAGTTTCTTTGAGAAGTGTTTCAATCATATTATTGGGTAGCCCCTTAAATTCTCCATAAAATGAAACACTGACCAAGTTTCTACGATTTGGAACGACCGAGTTACCGGCTTTTTAACATTACGAATATAAATTCACTCTCGTTAATGCCGTTTCCGGTCTTCATCCTATTTTCTATCGCACATTTTGGCACAACATCGTAGAAATCTGGTTAGCATCTCATTTTATGGAGAATTGAAGGGACTACCCAATGATATGGTTCAAAAACTTCAGCAAGAAACTTTAAAATCACCGGGTTTTTTTTATAAAATCGAGTTTTTCAGAAATCGCTGTCTCAAGATCCCGACGTGTAGCATAACGTTTCTTCATTGAAATATATAGAACCCGACGCGCTCTTTCATTCATACCAACTTCAAGCTTCTACATTAGCGAATGTGGTCAGCAGACGTTCTACAAGTTAGCCCAAATCCGCCGAAAAAATGATGCAAATGCATTTTTCGCTGCGAGGGTAAAATGGCTATAACTTTTTTTTCAAATCCGAGAAGAACCGACAACAGGTTCGGATGTGCCTAACAATCCTCAATCCAACCATAATATAATAGTTTGATCAAGGGGAGCGGCACATTTGCGGTCTTATCCGGCGGAGTCCTTTGTTATTTCTCTTGAATTTGTTAATGTAACATTTGAGTAACGTTGATCTAAATTTATCAAATCGGCTTTATTCGCTACGATGATAATGGGAACAGTTGTTGTTAATGTATCATCTTCAATACTTGAACGA